GAATGAAACGTGGCATTCTTGCTACCCTTTCAGACATCTCATCTGATCTTCTGCAGGGCCCTAGTTGTCACCCGGCAGTGTTCCATGTCAGGCCCTGTCATGATCTTCCCCATGAAGAGCTGGAACATTGTGTATTGCTGCTACTCCTGTGTGCAGCCAGGCACACCCCCTTTGCGTGTCCTTACCAGCCAGCACTGCTTCCCACTCTTTTCCATCTTATTTTCTGAGACCTAATGTTGTTATAGACTTCCAGATTCAAAAGCCACCAATGGGGCTCATTATAGGCTCACCTTCTCAAAGGACCAGCATCTCCGTTCCCTACACACCCTCTCAGGGAGCATGCTTGCCCTTCACTGACACCCTTCACAGATGGTGAAGTACGGCACTCTGCTGCCATTCACAGGTGAAGCTCAGAGTGACTGGTGGCACAGATACTGGTTCATCTGTAGAGCATGTGTCTGGGTGATGGCTCGGTCAAAAGCTAGGACTACTAGTATAAACATACCTGCTAGTAGAAAGGCCAACGAGCTAATAAAAACATAGAGTTTGAGCAGACAGTTCACAGAGGGAAATGCAGACAGCTTGTCAGCATACAGAAAATGCTCAACTAAGTTCATTCATCAAAATGTCAGTTCAAACTACTACACATTCACTAGCATTGCTGAAATGATGCCACCTTGGTAAGAAGGCAGTGCCTGGGACAGTGGCCCAGCTGGTAGGTGTAGAGATGGAACAACACTTGGGAGGTGCTTCGCACTACTGAGGAGTACACACCTGTACTACTCACACAGCAGTACCCTCAGAAACAGTAGAGTGCACAGTAGCCTGAGCTCAGCCTTCCATGAGTCTGTCCTAGGAGTCCTCTGCAGAGGGCACTGTGCAGTGTGAATGCCAGGCCAGCAGCCACAGTGCCATGATTGTGTTTGGGAGTCACAGTGAAGACTGGTCTGCTAAGTGGTGAGTGGGAGTGGTGGTTACTTGGGGACACAGACTGAGGAAGCAAAATGGAGCTGACTGAACTGTCACCTAGGTGTGTGGCTATGATTTGGGTACACTGTGAATGTTAACTTTGAGTTTAAAATGTGAAGGAGAGAAGGGTTACACTGTTGAATGTGCAGCCAGGATGTGGCAAACCCCTTCTTACAGGGATGGCATGAGAGTGAACTGGGGCCCTCCGATGGGCAGTTTGAAAACATCTGTCCGACTTGCAAACCCTGTTCTACGTTGAGCCCTAGTATCAGGAATGCATTTGGGAGCCATTCTAAGTACCCTTGGCACAGGGCCTGGAGAGATGGCTCTTGCTGCTTTTGCAGAGAGAGGACCTAGCTTCAGTTCCTAGCACCCACATGGTGGCTCACACCATTTATAACTCCTGTTCCAGGATATCTAGTGCCCTCTTCTGACCTCCATAGGCACCAGGCATGCAGGCAAAACACACGTACACATGAAAGTAAATCTTAAAAAAAGAAAAAAACTAAATAAGCCCCTCACCCATGCCTGAGTATCAGTGTCACCCTCTGTCTCCCACAGCCGAGAAGTCCTGCGTGCACAGAGCAGCGATGTGTTCTCCAGTGCAGAGATGCGCACTCGGCCCCGGGGACCAGAAGCTTCTCTGTCCATCCATGTTGCAAGCTTCAGATAGCCCCTGCAGCCATATGTACTGTGTTCCAGATAGAACCACCCACCAGTCCCGTGACCGCTGCCTTGTGGGTTTATGGTGGACAATCTGGTTGCCTCCATAGCCAGTGATACCAAGTCTTCAGCTTTGTGACAAAGGGATGACACTTCTCAGGCCAAGCAGGTACACCTGATGACCAGCTCTGCAACACAGCAGCCACAGAGCTGGTCAGACCCAGACACTGTGCCAATCAGTACAGACCTCCCAAGCCTGGCCCCAGCGGCCTCTTTCCATCAAGTGTGCTCCTGGGCAGTGGCAAGTTGTTCAAGGAGGACAAATCTGATAGCTAAGACACACGGTCAGTTGCTTACACTGTTGAGGTGACCAGTTAGCCATCTAAAGCTGAAGCTGCAAGGAAAGGGTGTGTGTGTCCTGAGTTCATTCCCGGTTCCAGCCCTCACTTACAGCACGTGCCTCTTCTTGGACAAGTTCAAGGTAGGACTCTAAGACAGCTCAGGCTGACGCTCCCTTGGTGTGATTGACCATCTACAGCCTGGCAAGAGGCAGGAAATCATAGAAGCCTAGCACAACAAATCCAGGTTCCCAGTTGTCCTGGGCAGACTGGCCTTTACCTTCTCAGTCAGCACATGTAACTGACTTAAGAGATTTGGTATTTATGCACTGTCACTAATACACTATCAACACAGTATCTATTACTGAACTGGCAGGTTTAGGACCCCGGACTGACTTAGTCTAAGACAGCACTCCTAAGAGAAGTTGTCAGGTCTCAGTTTCTCATTAGCTTTTACATGTCTTCATGTAACAGAACTAAGGTAGGGAGAGACAGGGGGAAAGTAACTCTGGCCTGGGCTTCAGCTGTCTCCTGCTGGCTAAAGCGTCCCACATTCTGGTGTTGCTATGCTGACTTCTCTGTGGAGCTGACACTCAGCAGGTAATCCTGTTCTTCCTTTGTCTTCTCAACACCATTTTGCCAGAGTTGGTGTCATTTTAGGTGACTGTTTCTGTGGAAGCACATGGATCTTAAGATGTTGGATCTGGACTCGTGAGTGATCTTTAGGCCATGTCCTTATGGCTACACACCAAGGGGTCCAGGAGACCCACACAGTAAACATTACTTGACTACAACTGAGTCCTGGGTAATGGCTACTGTTTGTTGCACTGTAACTGACGTGGCTCCTCAGTTTGCCCTTTCACCCCAGCTTCTGGCAGCAGAGCTGATGGACGGGCTGAGACACCGCTTTCAGAAGACGTGCCTCGAGGGCTGGCTGCAGCCCAGGCCTGTTGACAGGCCTTCCTTTCTGGTTTTTGTTTGTTTTTTAATTGGGAGATAGAACAGACTAAACAGGGGGACGGGGGACGGGGACGACACACTAAGATTGTATTAAAGAAAAAATAAACCATTTTTAAAGTTGCAGCCCTTGGTTCTGTCATACACTGACTGCTTTGTGTCCTGCTGCTTGAAGAGTACAGCCTTTTCTCCAGGCATACTTCAGACACTCAACAAACATGGCTTATAGTAGAAATACTACTTTGGCAGTAAGTGTATTTTGGCTTCAAGTAAATCTAGACTCATGGAAAAGTATTTTGGAAGAAACTGGCTGTCACATAGCTCCGTTCACTATTCTGGGGAACAGGATCTGGCCAGGGCCAAGGTGGTACCAAGAATTTCCTGTCAATCCAAAACTGTGGTTTCAAAGCAGCTACCTTCCCTCTAGATCAGACCTAACTATGAGGATCTCAACTATGGCAGAATCTTCTCACTACCTAAGGGAGCACAAGCAGCTCCCTCTTTGAAGTTCAGTAAGCCAAACATCAGTGTATGGAGGTGATTCACGGCACCTTGACAAGAAGCATGAACGGCAGCTACAGTCCACCAGTTGAGGCTCCTGCACCGGCTTGACCTTTTTGGTTGCTAGTGACTAATCCAGGGCTGTGCTGGCTGAACTGCCCATCTGACAGACAGACAGACAGACAGACAGACAGACAGACACACACACACACACACACACACACACACACACACACACACACACACACACACCCCAGATTACAATGACTTTTGCTTTACAGCCACCAAGTCTTCAGAGCAGCTAGCAACTGTCAGAGCACAGGAATGAGGACAGGAATGCTGAACGGAAGATCAAAAACAGGCTGGTTTTTATTATACAGAGAAGAACTTATTTACAACCCTCTGATGCGGACTATGTACATAACAATACAAGAGGCATCGGCTCCAGGTGGTCACTATAAATTAAGATTATAAATATGAGGGTTAGCCCCACCTGCAGGCACAAAACCTTTTCTCCAATTCCTCAGGGCTCCTTCCTTCCCCCCCCCTCTGACAGGCCCCGCCAGCACTCAGACTGGATTCTCATTTCTTGTTGACTGTATAAACAGTGCTGTGTCAGTCATAGACAACACTGATTTCCAGCACCCCTCACCCAAATGCAATGCTTTCTCAAGAGGCCACTGAGGACTTGAGTGTTGCCCTCAGTTGCTTCTCCTCCTCCTCGGGTTCCTCCTCACCTAAGTTTCTGTTGGTCTGTCACAGGCTCTGTGACTTCTCCTAGGCCAGATGATCCCTGCCTTCACATTCAGGTCTCAACTGACTGCTCAATGAGAACAGAACAGACGGGAAAGTGACAGCTGTTTCCATTCAGGGTTGCTTTCATGGAGGCAGGGAAGCCCACATGTGATAGGCAGCGGGTCCCACAGAGACAGGCAGTTGCTGTGGCGGAACTCTAGGCCTGGGGCACAGCGCACCAGCGATTGCGCTGTAGGCTCTCCATACGCCACTCTACTGGCCAGGGCTCTCAGATCTGCCTGTGACTGACAGGGAAGGGAAGATGCCCAGGGCGTCTGTCTGCAGAACAAACAGCACGTCAACCCTGCCTCCTCAGCTGGGGCTGCTGGAGGCCCCCCCACCCAGAGTCCAAGCTCAGCACTTCCTTCATGTCAGATAGGAAAGCATTGGCAGAGTCCACGGCACTGTCCTCTCTGGGTAAGGACCACAGCCCAGCAGCCTCCTGCCAAGGCTGAGTTAAAGCCCTTTCCAGCTGGTCTACAAGTCCCTGTGGGAAAGTGGGGAAAAGGGAAGGTCAGGGGCATCCTCACCTGGGAACTGCCCACAGCGTGTAGTCTGGGCCTTGTGGAGCTGCTGCTACCCACAGTGCCACCTGCTGTTTGAGAACCAGTGCTGCCCAGGAGATGGTGGCAGGGCAGCAGCATCGTGGGCTGTGGTTAGAGTCCTCACAGCAGATGAGAAGTCACTACAGAGCCTGAGACTCGGGGCCACCTGAGATGGACCCAGACTGCCCCTGCTGACTAGTCATTCTCCCGTGGCATACGTCGTCTCCAGCACCCAGGAAGCTTGGTCTCCACAGTAACGCTGAGCTAGTGTAAACTCATCCTTGTCTGCCTGCCCCAGACTAGACTGCAGGTGCCTGGAGCATCCTGAAGAGATACATGGACTGTCCACATGCTTAGAGCCCCGTGGAGAGCCCAGTGCCCTAAGGCCTGGCCTAAGCAGGAGGGCTTTCCTGTCCACCTTCACAGATTCTAATAAGCCTGGAAACACATCCATGTCACTTTCAAACCAGGAAAGTACATAACTTTTGTTTCTAAAAATTAAAACTCATGAACAAAGGGGGCAATAGCAGTGGGCGGCCTTTGTGGGGCTGCTGTGAAGAATCACAGAGTGGCTGACAGGCACAGAGAACATTCTGGTGAGGACCACTGAGGCTGGACCCAACTCTGCTTCTGAGACCCAGTAGAGGTGGAGATGGTACTGCCCAGTGTGACCAATAAAGGACACTGAAAAGGAGTACACAGGACAATCCGAGCATGTGGCCCAGGTAAGGAGGTTCTGCAGGGGTGCCAGGTGCTGGGAGGTCAGGCTTCACCATATTCTCTGTGGCCCACAAGGTGGGTCAGCGAGAGCCACAAGTGGGACTGCCACAGTCTGCCCCATGACTGCAGCTCGGAAAGGGATTCTCAAAGGTAGCTGTGTTGGTAATGTTCAAGACTTCAAAGCTGTTACCAAGGGGCATCAGGCTTCCTGTCATTAACAAAGGGAATAGCACCATGAGAAAGGCCAGGGGCTGAGTGGTGGCAGTGTCCTCCCTGGGCCTCAGTCTCGGGAGGAGCGGAAGATGCAGGCAGAGAATGCAGAGGCTAGGCCTCGGCGGCAGGGGAGCTCCGGCTCAGCTCCTTGATCCCACAAAGGATCCTCTTCATGTGGCCCACTTTGGTCACGCCGAGGTCCTGCAACAGAGAAGATAGGCACCATGGATATCAGGCCAGAGGCTTTACAAATTGGCTGCCACCAATGTTTTCTGTCTCTTTTTCTAATACAAATGAGGAAAATACCAGTGGATGAAATAGGAAGGAATCGGCACAAACATCAGTCATGCAGATATCCAACACATGGCTCCTGTAGCCTACAAAGACTGCTGTCATGAAGGACAGCCAGCAGACAAAAGAAAAGAGGCCTGACAGCAAGTGGGTGGCAGCCTTGGAAGAGCCACCTGTCAAGGAAGTCCCCATGGCCTTTTGCCGCCTTGGGACAAAACCAGAAACAATGCCCAAAAGACAGCTCTTCAAGGCCAAGCAGGCCAGGGCTTAGCTATGTAGTGCAATGGGTGCAGACCTGACCACACATGTTCCCAGGCTTGAGAAAGCAGACTCTTCCGTCTTGGCTCATAGGGAGCACAGCAGGGCCCACTGGGACTTAGAGCTTGTCAGCTGAACCTGTCCCACAGGGCTGCATTCCCTGGTTTCTAAACTTAGGATATTACCTTCTTATGTGGCTAAGAAAACCACCGCTTCCCCCATTGTGTCTGCACTTGGCCTTGCTTATCTGTCAGAGAAAGTCACCACTGATAAA